TATGTCCCTCTTTTTACTTTGGGACTTCTTTTCCCATAGAAATTTCAGTTCCTTCACAGTCCATTGAGCCTGCCTTTCCTCTTTATTCTCTCTGAAGTGATCAGACTTTCTGGGGTTTTTGTTTGTCTGTTTTTTTAATATTGCTGTCTCATAACTGTGTCTGGTTGTTACTACCGTACAGCAGGACAGGGTTGCCAGTTGGTAGTGGTTAAAGAGAAATACTTTGGCTAAATCCCCCATTTGTATTACTTGACATTCTTGGCAAAATGATAAAGACAGAAGTTTACATTAAAAATCTGAAGTAGAAAGCTTTATCCCAGGTATCTTTTCAGTTTTGATGTATGGAATTTAAGATTCTGAACACATATGAAGGAGTTTGGATGAGTCCCTTATGTTCCCTATCTGTCATTCTAATGATAAAATTTGTACACAGCACAGCACATGGAAAAAAAGGTGGTGACAAATGGACAGGATAACAGACATCGTAAGCAACATGTAAGACAGTAAGAGACAGTCTCGTTCAGACTGATGCACAGGGCAACAGGTACCTTGAACTGGTGCAGGTTCTGGCTTTTTTGGCACAGTTACAGGTACAGGCTCTTCCAGAACACCTTTCTTGGGCAGCTTGGGCACTTCAAAGATATTAGTGTGTTTTAGTTTTGTGGGCACTACAGATGTACATGAAACAGTAAGACAGTGAATAATACACACACGCAGCCTTCTTTGAGGAAGTGCTGTGGCTACATTCAGTCATCAGTTATGCTTTGCTTCACCTAACATGTGGAATGACCAGGGTGTCAAATACATCACACAGGAGATGGGAATTCTCTGTTTAGTTTCTGTTTCTGAGTCGAGGTGGAAATGTAGAAAACATATGCCGTCTTTGTAGCAGCTGATCAGAGACTTATTTACGGAATCCTACCAAATTTCACTATCAGTCATGTATCATTCATCTCTGTGTGTTCTGTGCTGTTTTTTGCAGTCACTGACATCTTTTTAATTGTCACCTGGATATTATCACTGTTTTTATCCTTCAAGGTGACTTCACCTGTCTTTTTCTGTCTTTCTATGTTTCCTCTTTTTTTGCTTCATACATTCCCTCCTGTAACACCTCCGACTTCTATTCTCATCACTAGATGCTGCTTTGAACTGTTTCCTGTTACATTCATTTAAATTATTTAAATGTTTTAAATATCATCACTGTGAGGTCATACTTCACTCGAGGAATGTCATTATAGTTCAGATGGAGAGAATCGGGTGGCAGAGGGAATGTTTACTTCTCTGGCCTGTGCTTGGGACTTTCGAAAGGAAATTAAATGATGTACCACTGCATCTTTGGTGTGTACAGTTTTAGAGTATCTTAAGTAATTTTTTAGTATTTCAATTATAACGTCTCTTATCCCGATTAATCTGAGGCAATAGATGCCTCTTATAAGGCTCGGTGAATACGATGTTCACAGGAACTTTACAACTATTCATACAATGTAAAAACTTCGCGAATCACAGAGTGAACAATGTTGACATACGACCAAAATAAAAACAAATTATAATTAACAGTTTAAAGAAAAGATTCTGCTGCCTGATGCCACCCATGGCAACAGAGGCACATAGAGGTATTTGCAATGATTTTGCTCTATGTACAGAAACTGCTACTCTCTGCCGAAACCTTCAGTTTCTGCTTATTTTGTCCTTTCTTATAGAATCATAGACTCATTTAGGTTGGAAAAGACCTTTAAGATCATAGAGTCCAACCATAAACCTAACACTGCCAAGTCCCACTAAACCATGTACTAAACCATCCCTACTAATAATGTGAACAACAGTTTATGTATTAATTCTCTTGTTAGCATCCATAAGGTTTTGGCATTTATTGGTAGAGAGGAGTTCATTGTACCTGCTTGACTTATGGTTATAGCCTAAGAAATCAAATCTTACTGCTTGAACTTTTTGAATATGCCAAAAAAACAGTAAACCAAGAGTTTGGATGGTTTTAGTTGAGGAAATATATGATGTCCCTGCACAGCGATTGATATTTGGTACATCTCTCTCACATTTTAAGTATCACAGTATATAGTGAGAAATCAATTTAAAATGAGATTGATTTTTTAAAAAGAAAACCTTTCTTATGGTGATAATCATGGTGGCATGTACCTTTAGCAAGTGGAGCTCCTGGTTTTTTAGGTACAGCAATGGGCACCTTCTCCTCTGGGACAGCTCTCTCAGGCATCTCAGGAACTTCAAAGATATTAGTGCATTTAATTTTACAATTACAATACAACTGAACATAATCGCAGAGACTGAAACACAGAGGACAATAGGAATGTTCTAAAGTCACAATTTGGCACACACTCATACTCAGGGCGACTTGTTTAGCAAACATTTAAAACCTCAGATTCAAAATGACAGAACAAAAGACGTTAAGATCTAATCTAATAGAAGAAGATCAGGTGTGTTTATCACATATTCATCATAACATGTACCTCTGGCTGATGGAGGTTTTGATTTTTCAAGAACAGCTGCAGGACTTTTCTCTTCTGGGACAGACTTCTTGGGCATTGCAGGCTCTTTAAAGATATTAGTATGTTTTAGTTACATGTATTAAGCTTTAAAAGGAGAAGTGAAACATGATAATACTCAAGAGAAGGAAAAGAGATCCTATTTGTAAGAGGTACCTTTAGACCGTGGAGCTGCTCGTTTTTTAGGTATAGCAACCCTGTCTTGCTTTTCGGCCAGCTCAGATGGTGGTGGCTCCTCAGGTGCCAAAACAGGCTCTGGTTCTTCGGATGCCACTTCAGGCTTTGGTTTTTGAAGTGCCGCAGAAGGCTCTAGTTTTTGGGGTGCTAAAATTTGTTCTGGTTCTTCAGGCACCACAACAGATTCTGGCTTGCAGGGTGCCACAACAGGCTTCAATTTTCTGGACACTGCAATAGGCCTTGGTTTTTGGAAATCTGCATCAAACCCTGTTTCTTCAGGTGCTACAAGCACCTCTGTTTTTTGAGGTGGCACAAAAGCTTTTGTTTTGGAGGGCACTGCAACATGCTCTGATTTTGGGGTTGATACAACTGTTTCTGACTCCTCAGGTGCCACAGTGAGCTCAGATTTATCAGGGACCACGAATGGTTCTTGTTTTTGAGGTTCCACAACAGGCTTTTGTTTTGAGGGCATCATGCCATTCTGTAGCTTTTGGGGTGGCACATCAAACTTGGGTTCCTCAGGTACCACAAACTCTGGTTTCTCAGGCACTACAATATGGTCTGGTTTTTTGGGTTTCACAACAGGCTTTTGTTTTGGGGGCATCAAGCCATGCTTTAGTTTTTGGGATGTTGCATCAGGCTTGGGTTCTTCAGGTACCACAACAAACTCTGGTTTCTCAGGCACCAAAATGCGCTCTATTTTTTTGGATTCCACATCAGGCTTGGGTTCCTCAGGTACCACAACAAACTCTGGTTTCTCAGGCACCAAAACACGCTCTGTTTTTTGGGATGCCACAACAGAGTCTTCTTTTTGGGGTGCCAAAACAGTCTCAGGCTCCTCAGATGTCACAACATGCTCTAGTTTTTGCAGTGCCACAACAGGTTTTTGTTTTCTGGCCACTCTAGCAGTTTCTGGTTCTTGAGGTTCTACTTCTTGAGGCTTTAGTTTTGGAGGTCCTGCAACAGGCTTTGGTTTTTGGGAAACTGCAACAGGTACTTTCTTTTCTGGGAAAGTTGTCTTGGCCACTTTATGTATATAAAAGATATTAGTTCTAAATTTAACAGCTGCACAGACAATCATACCAAATTTAAATGAATCATAAAACATAAACCCGCAATTGTAATGCAAACATTAAAAAAAAAATCAGGTGTCTATCATTTATGTTGGCCTTTTAAGGATGAATATGCCACATTTTGGCTTTTCACTCTCTTTTGTCAAATGCACACAGCCTGTCCCCCCCCACCCCCCAAGCCTCATGCCCCCTTTATGCATGTGCAAACGTGCATTGATAGCATAATTTAAGCTATAAGTAAAATCCATTATAATTATAAACAGAATGGACAGGACAAAAGATATTAGTAACATTGCAGGTAATAAGCTGAAGACTTTTCAAGAATTAGCAGTGATGTCATCTAGCTTTTCTTTGTGGAGCTTCTGGTATTTCAATGATGTTGATATCTTCTGCTCTTAGCTACTGGAATGGGTACTTTGTTTTCTTCTACTATTACCACTTTAAAGATATTAGTTGTGGTTGTTCTTATGAGCCCACGTGGGTAGAATATTAAGAATAAACCAAAATAGTACAAAAAATTGAATTATAAAACACAGGCAATTCAGACATCCAAGATTTGTCACTATTCTTCAAAAAGACCCATGTCTGCCTGTTTTGCACACATATGCAGATACGTAGAACAAGTATGATTTAAAATCTCAGAAAACAGAAGGCCTGGAAAATCACAGTGTTAAAGAAAAGTGGAAAAATATTCCTTTTGTTATTTTATTGGTGTTGAGATTTACCTTTCTCCGGTAGGGGTTCTGGTTCTTCAGTTGCAGCCTCTGGTTCTGGGACAACCACAGGTTCTTGTTCTTTAGGCACAACCTCAGGTTCTGGTATTTTAGGCACAGGTATTTTCTTTTCTGGAACAACTTTCTTCGGCACCTCAGGTTCTTTAAAGATATTTATTTGTTTTACTTTCAGGAATTTGAGGAATAGGAATTAAAAAGGTGACAATAGCTCCAAGGTGAAAATTATCAAACAGCATCAGAAAAAAAAAAAACCCCAAACCCTTATTAGGGGTATATATACCCCTAAAGAGTCTGAGTTTTTTCTATCTTACTTGCTGCACACCACTAATAGCCATTGTTGCTTACTGGGAGCTATTCACAAGTAAAGAAGACAATACAAGCTGTAACATTTTTAAATATTAGGATAGATAGAAAAAAAGGATTACACAAACTTCTGAAAGATAATATTTAGAGAAACAGATTAAAATTTCTGTGCAATTTTATCAGTATTGAACATGTACCTTTAGGTGGTGGAGGTTCTGGTTTTTTAGGAACTTCAATATGCACTTTTTCTTCTGAAATCACTTTCTTGGGCACCTCAGGCACTTTAAAGAAAGCAATTAATTTTATTTGTATGAAATTCAAACATATGTCTGCAGCATTAAGACACTAAGAAAAAGTGAAACTCAGGGACATCAAAAGCATCAGTGGTTTTGAATGTGAATATTGACTTTTTTCTTTGCTTACAGAAAATTCTCTCTGATGTCTTACTCAGGTACAGATGCAAAAACTACAACTTACACAATAAAAATATTTTATAAAACATTTATGGTAAATTACCAATATATTAAAATGATACCCTAGACAATGAAGGAGTTTTCTTTCATTAATTGTGTACAGCAGTTACCTTTAGTTGGTGGGGGTTCTGGTTTCTTTGGTACTTTAACTGAAACCTCTTCTGTGACCACTTTCTTTGGTACCTCAGGGACTTGAAAAATATTAATAACTTTTACTATAAGAATTTATTAAACAACATTAAAGCATAACAGCAGAACAGTATTAGTGAGAACACCAATTACTAAGATCTATTTTTTTCACACAACAGATTTGTTCACTTGAAAAAACTTTGACAACAGAAAAAAAATCTAACAGAGGTCTGGGGTGCTGTCTTCTGTAGTGTTAATAACAGAGTGATGGTTTTGATTCTGTTAATTTTGTCAGAATGACTAGTACCTTTAGCTGGTGGAACTGCTGGTTTTTTAGGCTCTGCAACGGATATTTTCTCATCTGGGACTTTCTTGGGCACTTCTGGCACTTCAAAATTAATAATTGTGTTAATGATAAGAATTTAAAGAAATTTAAATAGTATTAAAGTGGAAAAAGAAACAAACAAAAGGACAGCAGGTAACATCAATTAAACGTAATAGCCTTTACCAAATAGGCTTTTTGCTCTCAATCTTGATTGAGAATCATTTGAGAGGAGTAAAGAGGCTGCTCCCCAAAATGAAGTACAAAAATCACAGTTTATAAGATAGGAAGATGGGGAAATAGCATCAAAAAGGTCTTATCAGTGAAAATAAGACAAGTTATTGCCAGTTTTAATAATGACAAGTACCTTTATCTCGTGGTACTTCTGGCTTTTTAGGCACAGCAACTTTGATTTTCTCTTCTACAACAACTTCCTTGGGTGCTTCAGGCACTTTAAGGAAAAAGATTATTTTCAGTTATTATGTGGAATTTCACAGGTATGTTCAAAATGTTTCAGCAGAAATTGCAAAGTAGAGAGGTTCTTAATGGAGCCATTGATTTGTCATGTTTATTGGCTTAAGGTTCTTTTATGTCCCTGTAGAGTCTGAGGAAACACCTCAGAGCCTTTTGGAGTTTTTCCATTTTATTCAACCACCTCCCAAATCTCCATTTGACTAAGACTGCCATTATCCATGTATTCCTTGTCACATTCATCTATGCATGATGACTTCTTGGTATCAATTTTTCATCTGTGCATGGGGGGTGTTCTCCTGTGTTAGACATCTGTATCATTTATTCTACATTTTGAAATTATTGAACTCTGATTTGGGGCTAATTTTTCACTGTCAATTGGGAGTGTTTCAGATCACAGAAGCCTTGTTTTCTCTTTGAGATTTCTGCTGTGGTTCTCTATCCGTCGCACCTCTGCCCAGCCACATCAGTATTTCTAACATGCTGGTATACTGATTATGGCTATGAATCAAAAAGAAGAATTTTCAAAACAGTAGCATATACTTCAGAATTGTGGGCACAGAAAATAAAATAGGACAACACCAACAAACAATCAAAAAATTAATCCACACAATCAAGGCAGAGGTTTTTTCTCTTCCAAATTTTAGTTATCTGTAGTGCAACATACCTTTGGCTGGTGGTGGTTCCGGTTTTCTAGGCACAGCAGTGGGTACTTTCTCTTCTGGAATTTTCTTGGGCAGCTCTGGCACTTTAAAGAAAACAGCATTCATTTTTGTTACATTTAAGACATTTAAAATATGTAAATTATTAAGAAGAAAGACTCTCACAGGAAGTATATCAGAAAAAAATGTAAGATCAGATATAAAGAGATGTGTCATGCAAAAAAATGTTGTATACTATTACATACTACTAGGATTTTTTATAGATGAGAAATAAAGGGTAATTTTTTCTTTTACTGTAAACCCTAATGCCCAAGAGAAAGAGTTATCATTATCAATATATAATCTTTAGGTGGTGTTACTCTTGGCTTTTTAGGCGCAGCAAACATTTACTTTCTCTTCTGAGAGAGATTTCTTAGGTACCTTTGACACTTTAAAGATATTAGTGTACTTTTACAAATTACAGAAATAAAACACGCAATACAGAGAAATAAGACAAAACAAGTAGATGTATAAAGGTACTCTGACAACAGTTACATGTTCTGAAATGTCTCCATGGTACTATCCCTCTGGCAAATAACAGTTTGAAGTGACCTTGCTGGGGACCTTTCATCATGCAGTGGTGACATTCCACAAAAACTGCTAGTTCAGACAGACTTCTGAAATATCAGAATGAATTGTAGCAACTGGTTTCTATGCCTAATGTTATTTCTGTTCAAAATTAAATCACTTGACCCCTAAGTTTAACATGAGCAATATGAAAGAGGAAGTGCATATACTTCTTGCGTGAACATGGACAGAATTTTTGAGGCTGTTTACAGTATCTATAAACACTCATGAAGTGAAAAAGTTTGTTCCGTAAATCTCACTGCATGTTGACTCAGCTAGAGTTTTCCTAATTTTTTAGTCCCTTTGACTAGTTTCTGATACAATTTCTGTGCTATCACAAAGAATTACTCTTGGGTAGAAGAAACAGACAAACAACTAACTTTTAATGATTTAACAACAGTAAAAGAAGGGACAGAACAGACTTAAAAAGGAGAAGGAAAGGATATGTTGATGTATACCTTTGGCAGGTGGAGCTTCTGGCTTTTTAGGCAAAGGAACAGGTTTCTCTTCAGGAATAGTTATCTTGGGCACTTCAGGCACTTGAAAGATATTTACTGATTTTAATTTTAGTTTTATGACTTAAAGACGAGTAAAGAAACAGGAAAAGGGACATATACAACATAAATGCACAAATCTGACACAAGTGGAACATGAACTATTAAATTGGAAATTATGTAAGAAATGGAAAAGATGTTATCAGCAAAACCCCCTCAGTTCTGTTAGGTTGTCAAAGTACCTTTAGATGGTGGAGAGCCTGGTCTTTTAGGCACGGGAGTAGGTTCTGGTTTTTTAGGCACAGAAATAGGTACTTTTTCTTCTGGAACAGCTTTCTTAGTGACTGTGGGCACTTTAAAGATATTAATTCATTTTAAGAATTTATGTAGAATAGAAAGACAAGTCATAAAAAAATCCCAAGTTTGTAATGTAAGGTATTAAAAGAATGAACACAAATATTAATTACATTGAACAAGAACTAAACCTTGAAAATGAATAATTTAATTTTCCTAGAGTTCATGACTTTGCAAATTGCAGGAAGAGATGATGAAGAAGATATATACCTCTAGGGGCTGGAGCCTCCTCTTTTCTATGAACAGTAGAAATTTCTTCTTCTATGTACGTCTCCTCATAAACTTCATGTACTTGAAAGATATTAGTTTAAATACTTAAATTAACTTTGAATATCCTCAGAAAACAAGACAATGTGAAAGATAAAGAAAAAATACAAATATTCAAGCTTATCTTAAGACATACAGGTCTATTTTACATCTACCCTCAAAAAACAGGTTTCTTTCAAATGAGGGAAGGAAAAAAAAAAAATCTTGTATTCTACCCTGATCTGACCTCTGCAGCTTGCCAGAAGAAAGATGTGTGTGACATGTCCTAAACTGAGCTACTTCTTGAGTGTAAAGAGGTAGGTCCTGACTATCTAAGTTTTGTTACTTCTGTCTTTTTTTTCCCCTCAGACTGATCTCAAGTAGCAGGGTCCCTGCAATTGTCTCTTTTGCACAAAAAGCTAATTTTCCCCTTAAGGACAACTACAAATGATAATTTTTTTTTTTAATTAATTTTATACTGTAGCAGCTAACTAAAGCTGCTAACTAAAGTCTAGTTCGTGGTAGACAGAATGTTCTCAAACTAATTAAATATTTATATAGGAAAACATATTTTTTATCCTTCAAATCGCACTCAGAAGTTTTTGTACCTGTAATGTGTGAAGCTTCTTCTTTAGGTAGAGCAGAAGGTATTTTTTCTTTGCGGACCACTTTCTTTGGTACTTCAGGAACTTAAAAATATTGGTTTATTTTAGAATTTGCACTAGGAAGTAAGTAGTACAGTTTGTAGAACAATAAAAAAGTCTACTAGAACAATATGAAAATATAGGGTATTAACTATGTATGAATACAACCCAATAACTTCACTTTCTGGAGTTCACTGTTTTTCTAACTCCTAGGACTCACAGGTTTGAATTTGCCCTTCCTTGAAAAGACAGTAGTTAGTTTTGTGGGGTTTTTTTGTTATCAAACAACCTTTAGGAATTTGGGCAATTTAAAGGATTTTTATTTTTTTTTTTTTTTATTTCAAAAGTGGCTATAAAAGGAAGGCAAAACTCCAGTGCAATTAAGTAAATACTATGTTTCAAACATCTATAGAGTTCTTCAGCTCTGGAATTTTATTACAAAACTGTTTCTATGAAAAGATTTTTGTGGCATTGTATTTTGTCCTGGTTTAAAATCTTGACTTTATTAAAGTCCCTGACATGATTGTGAAGAGTGTTTCTGCAAACAAGCTTCTGACACAACCTTTTAGGTTTTGGTTTTTTTAATATATTGTCAGAGAAAGTATTTTGGGAAATAGAACATGAGACAAGAAGTCAAAAAGATGTAAGGCTAATCCTTGAATTTCCTGTCTACTAAATTTCTTTATATTTGTCTAATTTTGTTTTTTAAATACTAAATTCCTGATGTAGAACGTATCAATCTGTTTAAGTACCTGCTAACACAAGACAAAAATAAGAATTTATAGAAAATGTTCCTTGGGTTTGTTTTCCTGAATGATGAATTATTCTGTCTTAATGATTCTTAACAATTCTTAACAATGTTCATTAGTTTAACACACAGAAAGATGCTGAAATGGTTTTTGATTTCTTTATAAATGACTGCAGAATGATTATGTTTTTAATCTCTGATCTTCCCGTACGTATGCTCTCTTTCTGAGATAAAAGCAAACAAAAATAGACAGACAAATTTACTCCTGATCAAATGGAAGAAAACAGTGTATATAGCACCTGGCCATGTTGTTCAAGAAAGACAAGCATGTTGGGTTTCTCACTCGGTATCTCACTTTAGAACAAGGCTAGAGAAAATCCACTTGGAGGTCATGTACCTTTGGCTGGAGGAGCTTTTTCTGTAGGTACAGCAGCAGGCATTTTCTTCAGTGGGACAGTTTTCTTTGTCACTGCAGGTACTTTAAAGGTATTACATGTTTTAATGAACATTATAATGTACAAAACGTAAGTAACAAAGAAACAATGACAGACACATAACATCTAAGGAAACATTAGAATGAACACATTAAATAACAGGTTAGCATACAGATGGAATGACAAAGATGAATAACTAAATTGTAGGGAACATTGTTTTATAGATTGCTTGAATAGTTGTACCTTTAGCTGCTGGAACTTCTGGTTCACTAGGAATAATAACAGGGACTTCTTCTTCTGTTGGAACTTCATAAACTTCAGGCTCTTTTTAAAGATATTAGTTTATTTTACATATTTTAATATTATTTACAAGACAAGATTAGAAAGAAATTATAATGCAAAAATGCAGACATGTATATGGACAAAGAGCTGTTTGAACATAAATTACCTAAGTATCTCATTTCAGCCTGATCATTTACCTACTTTTGCTTTACATGACCATTCCCAATTAGTAAAATGCAAGTTTATGGAAATATTTAATTTTATTTTCTAGTTACTTAGTTTTGTATATTAGATAGAAATTGTAATTGAATTTCGCATGCCCTCATCTGGTGTTAACTCTCTATATCCCAGATCAAAAATTAAGTCTTACTCAAGACAGCTCTTAAATCACTGGCTACTCTAGTTCATTCCTTTGGTCCAACATGACTAAAGTGCTTTCCTGGATCAGAAACTTTGTCTCTTTATGTGTCTTTCTCCCATTAATAGAAGAGAAAAGAACATTTTTAAAATGCTAAACCATAACTATATTTGGGGAGACAGAGGGTCTCAAAACAGGGATGGAAGTTACTCTTAAATAATTTAAAAAAAATAATTGAAAATGTCTCTCATTTTACAGAACAATCTAGAGCACAAATTGATATATTCTCTGCAACATACTGCCTGGTAGAAGTGTCACTGATGTACCTTCATACAAAGGAGGCTCCTCTTCTCTAGGAATAATGGTGGGTACTTTCTCTTCAAGGACAGCTCTCTTATGAAACTCAGGAACTTCAAAGATATTAGCTTTGTTTTAGTAACCTCAAAATAATTTTCAACTTCTCAAATCCCAAACAGAAATAAACCCAGAAAACTAAGTTATTTTGAGGTCCCAAATACCATGCCTTTTCAAGAATGAAATATTATACAGTTCTAGAACTGTCCTGCTGGAACAATTAATTATGTGAAGAAATTTCTAGTTTCTGCTCTCAAAGAGCATAAGCCATTTGCTTTTCTCACTGTATTGTCATGCTTTTCCTTCTGATACATCTAACACCTTTAATGGTTTTAACGTACTAACTCTTGCCCTATAACTTCTCCCCCAATATCATGACCAATGTATTGGCTTCAAAACCCCAGTTTAAAATAAATTCACAACTATATTACAAATGTAAAAGCACTGAAGGTTTACATACTGGTAGTGTGAGTAGTGATACCTCCTCAGCATGTTTTCATTAATAAATCAATGTATTTACTGTTTAGCACATGTATAGCAGACATCTGAAATGTTTGCCTCAGAGT